TGCATCGAATAACACCCGAGTTCCTTCCCGAGTGATGCTCTATGAAGTTTAAGTTGACGAAATATAGAATTTGATAGCATCAAAAAATATTTCTAAAAATTTTGTAAAGTAAGATTTGGAAGGGGCGGAAATTGTTTTGTAACCTACTTTGTTTGCTTTATTTAAAGGTTACTTGAACTCCCTCGAGAAATTACTACAGGAATTTAGAAAAATACCGGAAATTGACTATGGCAAAAACTATGGGTTGCAGTTTTTGGTTATTTTCTGAGAGCTCGTTTGTTAAACTGCAAAGCGAAGATCACCCTTTGAAAGAGCATAAAAAACTGCATCAAATGATTCCAAGATTTTCTGAGGATGTTTGTTCTGCGGACTGTGGCGCTTGTGCAAAAAAAGCGAAAATACTTTTGGGACGACCTAATATATATCAGCAACCTTCACAAGGAAACATTTTCAATCAGGAAAACATAGACCGTCTGTCTTCACAAAAAGGCGAACAAGACCATCTTCGAAATTACTTTCCATCATGCCTGCGGGACGCACTACACTAAATTCTCGCACATACATAATCCTCACTTGCTTATTAAGAACAATGAACGAAAGTAAGCTTATAGATTTGACTTGGCATAGATGAGCTACTTGGACCGCATCCAGACAATTAAGAGGATTATAGTAGTCTGAGAGCACTGCCTGTCTCTCTTCCAAAGTTCGTCAACCATAAGGCCTACAGCGCTGAAATTGATTACATCTGGAGTTGCTCGAATAGCGATAAGGAGCGAAGAACTCGAGGTAACCGAGCTCTTGAAAAGAGATCTTCAAGGAGATAGAAGTCTCGCAACGTTGACCTCAGCTAGACAGGGTGTTCCAAAAAATGTGTCTACTGTTTGATTGTTGATAACTCCCATTCTCTCTTCGTTATTGTAGGATTACGGTAGAAATTTCGAGAAGTATTTTGCGCCATTGAGGGTCATTTCTACCCCTAAATAAGGACTAAGGAAGCTGAAAACTACTACACTAGAATGATCAAAGTCGCTGATTTCAAGCACGAAACTCGCACTTCACACTGAAGCTTTTCTCTCAAGTTATGCCAGATGTACCGTAACACCCAATTTCTGGTAATTGTCAAAAATCTAATTACGTCTAAAAAGCTCCGCAGACGTGCAAAAAGTTATGTAGTGAAATCAGCATGCATGAAAACCCTGTTATACAATTATTCAGTTTTTAATTTTTTTTCGAACGGCCTACACACTGGCGCCAAGGCTGCGAAATCCTACCGTAATTCTACAGTAATGAAGAGAAATTGGTAATTCGCTCCGTACTATAACTTTAAGGTGAAGTTCTAGTACGGAGCCTCTACCGAATGGTACTTGAAGCTTCTCGAAAGTTTTCATGACAAGAAGTCATTAACAATCAAACAGTGGGCACATTTTTGGGACACCCTGTATGATCGCCATCTGCAAAGCGATTTTCTGGAGGAAGTTAACGCTTTTCAATTAGTGTTTTGTGGTTACCAGACAGTGATGCAAGTGAAGATGTAGAAATGCTTTTCTACCCATTATAAAAAAACCATTATTTACATCATTTCGGGTTCAGCCGTCATCGGTCATATACTGGAGACTACTTTCCTTTGCTGTTTTTTAAGAAAACCCCCTTTCTTTTTCCCTCCTTTTCTTACTGTCTACCTGTTTATCTTCCTCCCGCTATCACTTTATGGATAGCTTGAAAACCAAAACCATGCAACATGAAAGCATTGCTCAGAAGGCTTTGCGAATAGGCTTCCGGTCTTCCAACATATAGGTTTTTGGGTCAGTGCATCGATTAAGCCCTTCGTCCATTGTGAATTAGTATTCCATGCAAATTGTTGCACTTGCAGAATATTCGATAAATATAGATGAATAATGATGATAGCTTGCATAATGAAGTTTTGCTGCCAAGGCTAAAGTGAAAGTAAGACTTTAAAAAGAGATTGAAGTGACCAAACGATTCAGAAACGTTAGAACTTTAGTTATTTGTATTAAATCGTTTAATCTGATCTAATTATATGAAAATGCTCCCCACTGATAAAGCAAGGCACACCACTTTCACAGCACACTTCAGTAGAATTCGTGATTTTCAAGCGTGTTATTGATTACAAAACTCTACAACTACTACTCTAATCTCGCTAAATTCTAGTTATTTGCTGCACATTGTGGCAAGTCACAATATGCAGCTCAATATAGCTCAAATTTAAAAAGCGAGACCATTACCGACTCATTGAAATCGCTCGAAAATATATTATTCTATTCTGCACAAGGTATTGTGATCCTGTTTAATGGTTCAAATCATGAAAGATTAGCTAGCTTCAAAAAAACCGCTCGTGCGGACATTTCGATTATTTGGGTTTATGCCAAGAGGCGCGATTCTGGATGGGTCAAAGCACATATTCGGTATTTTATAACGTTCTAGAAGTATTAAAAATTTTCAAGGAGATTCATTGAATAGTTGCATAGATTGTCCTGTCTTACTACCTTGAAATCAATACAAAATCAATGTGTTGAAGATCAAAGACCCATGAAATCGTAATTATTAGGAATTTCTAGATACTTTTGTCATTTTTCGGCAAAATTCGCTAAACTCAGCATTTGTCTACCTTTAGTTTGAAAAAAATTTGGATGCATTGTGCAACCAGAGGAATTTTTACCTGGAATGTTGTGTGTTGGACGCTAGACAATGCCATTTACTACAATATAGATGTCCCAAAAACATGTAATAAACGTTTGATCGTTGTTAACTTGCTTGTTATAGAGTTTTGAGAACTTTAGGTACCATTTTGTAGGACTTGTTTCAGCTCAGATTTTTTTTTTGGAGCAAATCACGATCATCCCATAAATATAAGATTACGGTAAAAATTTCGAAGAGGATCTTAAGCCATGGAGGCCAAATTTTGCCTCAAAAAGGATTCAAAACGACGTGAAAACTTCCACACTAGGCTAATTAAATTTCCTAGTTCTAACATATATGAAGTTTGTATCTTATTATGATGTTTCGTCAAAAAATTGCCAGGTAAACCGTAGCGGCCGTTATGGTCTAACAACGCGTTTACTTGGTTTAGAAAGTATCGCAATTTTGTCCATAGTTGAGCACTGCAACTCAGCGTCCATGAAACTCCTATTAACAGTTTTCACATTTTTTGAAAACTTCTGAAACGGCAGCTTTTTTATAGTGACGCCAAATCCCAGAAGTTGCTACCGTAATCCTCGTAATGACATGCTGTAAATCTAGAATCTAGAATGAAGCTGACGTTACAAAAAACTACCTGAAGCTTCTTCAAAAACTTCATGACAAAGGAGCTATCAACGATCAAACGTTCATTACATTATTTTGGGACATCCTGTACACACATTAACTACCATTCAACCTGACAATGAGATCTATCCCCCTTGAACATTATTCGAAACTCTCCTAACAAAACCATATGAGCGTTCTGGCATATATTATCTTCAGTAATGGAGATGTGAAATGAAACTGCACTCTCTCAAAAGCTCTGTACTTTGCTATTTTAATTGCTGACCAAAACACAAAGTGCAAAGTGACGATGAGTTCTTTTGTTCTGTATAGCTGATGAGTGTCTGTTGGATAATGAGTGCGTTAAAAAAAAGAAAAATTACCGGAAGGTTTGTGATAACACTCAATTAATTTTCATGCTCACGCATTACACTCTACAGCAAATTGGTCTGCCTATCCATTTAGTAGAATCGATAATAGACTGGAAACACAGAGCGCTTTTTATAGACTATCGAAACGAAATTTTTTGGGGATAAAATGGGCCTACACAAATACAAGGTTTACACAGATTTGATGCATGTTCTGCTGCTTCATGTATGGAGTCTGTCAGATGTAGAACTATAGAAACTTATTGTAAATGAAATTTGTGGCAAACATTTCTTGGTAGCGTCCACGCAAAACCTAACTCCTACGATTAGCATCTAATCTGAGTGTAGGTCCCAGGAGAGGGACATCTGCGTTGACAGTCCTCCAATGTTGTCTCCGAATAGAGATAATGGACCTGAAACCACGAAAGTTCTATCAAGCCACGCCCAAACTTGTCAACCTCCGCCCACCCAAATGTTGAAAGCCGTTTGGGTCTCCAGGATAAGGCTTCCAGAAATCGGGTTTTTAGCGGTTTTGTACATCTGAACTTCATAACTGTAATCAGGACCACGAAAAGGCCCAGAAAGGCAAAAAACATGGAAGGAAAAATCTTGGGTGGACGCTGCCTTTGAGTCAGAAGGCGAGATATCACTGGAGTTAGCAAAACTGGATCATAATCTCTCCCTCCAACTTACTTCCTTGTTTCTCATAGAAGAAGCATATCTCAAGCGTCTACTGCTAGTAATTCATTCACCAGCTGGCGCCGTTTTACTATGTAGTACAAAAATTTTATCTAACACAAATATAAGTTGAATGTTCACAATTGCCTGGAAGCTTGCGCTATTAAAGGAATATGAAAGGAGTGCAGTGCAATTCGCAATTCCGCAAGGACAGGTAATTGCAAATTAAATCGGCCAGCTTTCTTGCATTTATTTTCCAACGAACCTTGCAGTTTATAGCTCCAAGTTTTTGACCTTTAGAATAATGTCAGACATTCTTAAAATCATTACATCAGGCTGTCGTCTCGTTTTCCTCAATGAAAAAAAATGAGCATTGAAACCAGCCGTATACGTAGATTCGGAGATTTCTTGAAATTTCCGGGATTTTTGAAGATTATATGAACGTGACCATAAAGATTGCTAGTGCTTCGTGATGCTTGCTCAAAGAAAGAGAGCCTGGCCAAAAATGTCGCAGTGATGTTGAAGCGAGAAAAAAACATGGACTGATTGTGCACTGATGGTAGATTAACAACAAATTTCCGGTTAATAGCATTATCTTACTTAGCAGAGCTAAAGAACTTGTTTGGAATCTCGCAAAAAATTCAAACTCCTTTGCATCGAAAGAGAAAAAGCTGTGTATACAACAAGGTAATCATTATGTAAAATGAGTTTATTAAGTTATTATAAGCGCAACACTACACAAACAAGCAGAAACAATAACAAAGAAAAAGGCAGACGGCTGAGATAGCATGCAATTTTACTCCTTCATTCGTTCATAGATTCTGGTACTCTTGACTCCTTTGCATTCGCATACCTGCAAACAAAAAGCTTAGCCACAATTCATTCTCTGCAAAGATATAGGCGAGTCAGTGTACGTAGGGATTGGACGCAATTGCGGACGATGTCGGCGTCTCTCACACCATCCCTCTCACCGTCTGCGCCTCTTTCATACACGTGCAGCCTCACTTACTCCGGACGCAGCATCAATGACTCGCCTATAGAGTAGCTAGTCAATTAAAACGTACAATGTATAGCTTTCCATCCTGAATGTAACGCTCAATGCGAGAGTCGGGGATTCCATTTTTTCCTTTTTCGTCTAATATGAGACGGTCGTTCTCAATTGTGTACGTTTGGCTGACCTAAAAAATAAAAAAATCCGCATTCCGGCAGTTTGCTCTTGATGTGGGTCATCTGCGCAAAAAGCTCACATCACGTCCATCTCCGGTCTTCTCATCGAACGTCTCGCCAATCTTGAACTTAGTCACGTAAGTTTTGAAAGTAGACACCGATGTCATGGTGATGTAGTCTCCATCCTTTGTGAATTCAAGAGTCGGCTTCAGATTGGCTGCGACTTTACGCGTCATCAGGCCGACGCCACACTAAAAAGAGGATTTCTTAGCAAAAGTGCAGCTTTGTGCATCTCATGGGAAAATCAGCAAATCCGGCTGCAAAATTCCAAGAGTCTAAATTTGAGCGTCTGATTCATGAGACAGACCAAGAAATATTTTTGAATGCTTGCAAATATTGTGCTTGTGCAACAAATGAACAAAAAACTCATTCTCCTTTTTGAAAGCATTGCCAATTTGCGTGGAAAGCATTGCAAAAGATAATTTGACTTTCAATCATTTGGCTTATGGCCCCTAAAGCTTCCATTTTTCATTCAGATGCAAACCACAAACTCTCTGGCACCTGGATTCCCCGAAAAGAAGAAAAGCCTTAGTGCTACCGCGTCCTACTTACTTCCGTGGATAATGTTATAGCGGCGTTTGGGGTCATTCCGATCATGAGATCTAATTCTTTTGGATTGCGTTTATTTTTTCAAAATCTCCAACACATGAACCCCAAACCGAAAGGGTTGACTTGCATCTTTGAGCGTTCTCATTCCACTGCAAATGAACAGCGAAATGCAGTCCGGAGAAATTTGAATGCAATTTGGATGATGAAAGAGAAAAAGAACATAGACACAAATTCACAACTTTTTATTTTCAAATTCAAAAAAATAGACACAATTACCCCTTAATGTCTGTCACTAATTGAAGAAAATTTATGACTATAGGCAATTCATCTCCCGCAGATACTGGACGCCGCTGCGTCCGACTGAGATAGTATGGACATAAAAGAGACGGCAGACGGCAAAAGGAAAGAAAGAGCACTCTATGAGCGAGACGCCGATATCGTGCGCAGTCTCTACATGCGATGAATCGCCTTTACTTACTTTAATGGATAAACTGGAACATTACTATTCACATTATATATTCATGATTACTATACTTTGAAAATTGCTATTTTTACTTTGAAAATTCAACAAAAACAATAACGTATGATTTCTTATAGAAATGTCCCACATTTGGGTAACCACTGTACTCCTCCACCACTGCTGCTCTTTCACAGCAAAAGCCCATGGAATTTATACAAATATCACAAATTTTTGATAGATTTTGCCTACTATATTGCATCGCATGATGGCATGTCATGTCATGTTCATATCGATAAAATATTCATGCATTTCATTGAAAGGCGCAGGTATGGTTTTTTGGAATCAGAAATGTTTATGGAGAAATCACTTAATTCTGCAATGTGGAGATTTCTCGACACTTACAACAAGCTTCTGTATCTTTATAAGTTTTTATTTGATTCTTTGTAGCGTTTCCTTTTATAAAAACAAAACAAAGTTTACCTCCTTCATATAAGCTTCGAAGTTCTCCGAAGAGACGAACGTCCATTTCCCAAGGATATCTTGCTCGATCGGCATGACTAAACGTATAAATATAAATATTATTGAGACCAATGAATGAACGATAACAGAGGCCCACAAAGCGGCGAAAATAAATGTGCATGTTTACAGAGAATGATGAATTTGTACTTTTCTAGCAGACCTGACATGCTAGGAAAAATAAAAATACCACAAACAAAAACCCCACTGCTCGGATTTGTAATGGGTAATCACGCGATAACAAAGAAAACTTTTCGATGGTAAGGGATTTTTCGCTGAACGCCCTTCGAATTTGTAACAAAAGCGGAACGAACTAACGAGAACCGGTTCTGATTTCGCAACGAGCGGCAGATTTCAACATTCAAAGTGTTCCTAACGAATGCAAGCGGGGAAGAAGAACTTGGCGTAGAACATGAGTCAGTGGTAAAGTTGTTTGGATAAGGAAAGCTAGAGCAAACAAGAGAACAAAGAATTTTTAAGGGACATCGATAACATTAACAAGGTTCAAAATATTTGCGCTCGCTATCTTGGTAAGCAGGTTCACATGCTAGAAACAATGAAACAAGCGCTGGAAGAAACAATAAACATTTTCAGAAAAAATTGAGCTCCTTGCAAAATAATCTTTGAGAAAATTTGGTCAGCTTGTCCGTATACACAAGAATAAGAAAGATGATCGATAAGGAGGTGACTGATGGAAGTGTAAATCGTAAAAAAATCAACAAGAAGTGTTTGAAAATAGATCAACAATTCAAATTAAATTGAAATTTGCCGCGAAATTACCAGGATTCGCTTTCACTCTCATAGTTGTCACTATGGTGTGATTGAAATTCCCAGGGCATGATGCAATCATAAAAATTCGCTCAAATGGAGAAAAATGATCGAAAATAGAGTTTTGCATCCGTTAATTTATATACAAAAAAGTTGTGAAAAGGAATTCTGATTTAAAAACATTTTTTTTTATAAATGCATAGAGATTGACCAGCAGAGCATGATGCAATCGTAAATATTCTTCCGCAAATGATACTTGAAAAACAACAAAATAGAGTTTTCAAATGCGATACATTTTTTTACTGCAAAACATTACGAAAAAAACGATTTTTGATCCAAAAACAATTCTCTTTATTCCAACGAGATTGAGCGCGACAGCAAGACAACACTTCATTTTGAAATTCTCACCATTTTCTTCGTATGATTTCCATGAATGCCAAAAGCCAAACATAGTAGAAGACAATAGCAGCAAAACGTTCACATTTGTAACAAAAAACAATCTTTTGACGCGCATACAAGAATATTGAATATAAAAGCTCAATTTGCATCAATACAGGACAAGATATTGACAGGCCTATAGACTGCCAGCTTTGTCAACAGATTATGGATAGTGGTGATGAGAAGAGGGGGGGGGGGAAGACTTAGCATTTAAAGGGAACACTAATTCATTTGCTGAAGCTCAAAGAGTACTCTTGCAAATTTTGTAGAATCTAATCTATGAATGATTGTAGACTTTTCATTCTGCCGCACAAATCCAATCGACAAAATGTCAAAGGCAAAAGGAAAAAATTAGAATGCGATTAGAATGCTTAAAAGGGGCATATTTTATTTTTCCCGTAAACCTATTTGCAAAATTTGTAAAAGTTAATCTATAAATATTTGCAAGTTTTTGTGGAATTTTACTATGCTGTTGGTGACGGAACTAAAAAAATAAAAAATGAAAAAAGAAAAATGTTGAGGATTCAGAACACACAAGGACATGTCGTCGCTGTTACTATCCTGCTAACTTTTTTCTTCAAAAAATTGGTAAATACTATGCTATAGATATACGAACTTTACTTCTTTTTTTTAGTTTCAATTTCTCAATTAGATATTTAATTTTGCAGTCGAAGAATTTTTTATTCGTTATGTTACTGGTGGCAAAATGCTAAACCACGATAAAATAAAAAATAAAAAATGCTCAGATTTTGAGACGAGAGGACATATAGTTATTATTATCCCATCAAAACTTATTGTAAAGTTTGCAGATCTTTTTTATATATGCGTGTCCCATCAATTTTACTTAGTTGTATTTACTCGAATACCAGTTTTGCAGCCAAAGAATGGTCGAAGATTTAGAGGAGACTCAAGGCCAAACTTACCCTACTGGAAAATTGATATTTGCAAGTTCATCGTATGCAGACTAGGTTGTTTTGTTGGTCCCGACTACAGCTGCACAGATTTTTTTTGAGCTTTCACCTCTGATCTCTGCTGCCGTGCAAAGACCGCAAAGAACAGAAACCAGAGAGGAATGAAAAAAGCCGTATTGATAAGCGAGCAAAAGAGCGAACGCTCTTTCTGCAAGCCATCCATTCCCATTGGACAGACGAGAGCGAAGAAAAAGCGAAAGAGAGGCACTGACGCGAACGGCGAACGCTGAGACCGTGGAAGCAGAGCGGGTTGGAATAACTGCACCACACGCACAGGCACACACACACACCGAATGTGTTCGTTTGTCTGCGTTCTCGCAAAGTCCACTGCACGGCCAAGCACGTATCGACCAACGAACATCCCCCATCCCCCTGCTTCCAGCTAAATACGCTGAAAACATTACAATTTTTGATTCATGAAGAACGCCGATGCCGCTGCGAACATGCTTTCGAGCGCTTGATCAGAGGAGAATGACCAAGGAATAGGGTAAACAGAAGGCATTGGTGATACAGGCTTATAAGGAACCAAGTTACATTGGAAATCAAGAAAGCTTGGAATTAGTCTAGACAGTATGTTCTTCGTTTTCATTTGAAGCAATGAAATTTGAGAGAAGACAATTTCAGAAGCCAATGTATTCAGTCCACTTTGTCTAGCATTTTCAATTTTCCGCGCCAACTCATAGGAACTTGAAACTTCTCCTTCCTTTTCTGAATGAAAATTTGTATCCCTCCCCTCCCCCCCCCCCCACTTTCGTTGATGGGAAAGGGGGGGGGGGGGGAATAGGAGGGAAGAAGGAAAGAGAGCCAGCTGTCTGCATCTTGAGCTCCAATCTGAGTATTTCCGAGATTTTTGCGAAAAAATACAGAGTTTTCTCAAAAAATGTGCATACTGTCTGATCTTCAATAACTCTTTTGCTTGAATAGTCTTCGCCGAGCTTGAGGTAACATTCTGTGGCGCAGAGTTCAACTTAGATTTACAATGAGAAGGAGGTCACCAATCGCTCTTCATTACTGTAGGATCACGGTATGAACTTTCAGCATACAGTGCCAGCAGTGGCGTACCCAGGATTTCGGCTCGGGGGGGGGGCGACAAAAATCTTTTTTTGAGCATTAGCCACGCCCCGAAAAATTTTTTTTTATGAAGCTAAATTGAATTTTTTAAAAAATCTTAAAAATTATTTTAATTAGTTACAGGTATAAATAAGTCTTTTGCACATTTTTATTACTCATATAAGTAACTTTCAAAAATTTCGCGACCCGTTCTCGGGGGGAGGGGCGCCCCCCCGCCCCCCCCCCCCCCCGCTCGGTACGCCACTGAGTACCAGTTTGACTTAGGCCTTTTGGAGAAAAAACTCCAAAAAATCTGGAAATTTGTGTGGCAAGTCTCCAAGCATGCTAATATTACTACATAACCCCTTAACAGTTTTTCAGCCTTTTTTGAGGTGTAACTACATTTCTGACCAATATTGAAAATCAGTTGTTACACTAAACCCAAAATAACTGACGAAAGAAGCATTAAAATACAAACTTCATATTCAGATCAGGGACTTTGAGTAGCCTAGTACAACTCTGGCTTGTATGGTTTTTCTTTGTAAGAAAAAATATCGCTTTCAATGGCCTACAATCCTTCTCGAAGTTGATACCATAATTACCATAATCCTACAGAAATGAAGAGCGATCTATGATTTGCTCATACTGTAAATCTAAGTTGAAGCCCGCCCAACAAAATGGTACCTCTAGCTTCGCAAAGACATTTAAGCAAGAGAGTTACTGACGATCAAACAGTGTTACATTATTGACGATCACATTTTTTGGGACACCCTTTATAAGCAAGCTACGATATTGGCTTCACCGTTTTAATTACACAATCGTTACAAAATCGGCTTTGTTACTTTTATTAGAGGTTCTTTTTGCTAAAGAGGATTTGAAGGTAAAGGATAGCTTCATTATCCTTGAGAAGAGTGTGACGATTCGGAAATATTTTGGCCAGTTATATCTATAGTTTCGTTGCAAAGTGCTCTGCCACGTTATATAATCAGTTCCGATAGCGGTTGACTAACTTTTCCCCACCATACTGTGATTCGATGCAGTTTTAGAGTTGAGGAATCTTGGGGAAGAGTTATCTGATTACGCAAGAGGGGGGGGGGGCAGGATACTAAAAGTTGAGAGGCTTTTGTAACCTATACTAGAAAGTTCAAGCATGAAATTTGTTTGTCAGAGAGCAGATTTGAGAATACCGGCCAGATTGAACACAGATGATCCGATTTTGGGAGATGAAGCAAAAGATACATTCTGTTTTTTTTTCTCAAGGTATTTCAGGACAGAGTTGTTGGCGCAACGAGCGACAAAGTCGACTCGGATGTTGTCACATTCACCTTTTATGACATAGAATACTGGAAAAAGTAAAAAAGGCCCACATTCAAAGCGTTTTTAAATGAAAAACGGTTGTGGACAACTCAGAGGTCCTGAAGGCCCTTCATAGTACCGAGTAAGAGTTAGCTGCTCCCAAATGCGTAGAATTGAGGATGTAGGTAATCCCAAGTAGGGTGAAGACATGCGTCAATCCAAACTGACAGTCCTGTGAATTTCCACTGCACATGATATAATGCAGTCGATACTCAATAAAAAGGAGGTTTCAAGAAAAGCTATTGACTTGAGAATGGAGAGCAACTTTAGTGCACTATCCACAACGGTACAAGTAGTGAATGAAACTGCGGGTGGACCAGGCCAAGGTGAAGATTATCTGTGATCTATCGTCGTCACCTTCTCAGCCCCCGCGACGATGGAATGATGGGAAAAACTCTGCTTAATTTTGAAAAAAGCTTGTAGAAATCATTCAATAAATTTTCGCTCAAGGATACCGAGCAGATACCGAGAGACCGAGATACTTCACTGAATTCTCAAGCAAGTATTTATCTCCTCTAACATTTATATCGATCCCATTCGGTGGCGCGTTTGTCAAGGTCATAAACGCGTTTGAAGGTCACTTTTGCTTTGATTTTTTCGAGAACGAGGACGACATCACCTATTTGCCAAGCCCTAACCCATAATGTGCCCTTAAGGAGAACAGTATGGTGGATGGCGCGTTTGGGTGTAGTCACTGCCATAAAAAATAATTGAATTTAGACATTCACTTGTTTGTTTTACTGACAACTAATCGCACACAGCGAATTTACGACATTTCTGTCATCTTTACCAATTCCCAGGGTAAAATTGAATCCTAAAAGGGAGGTCAGGTAACTTAAACTTGCTTTTCACATGGGAACATAAAGGTCTGGAATCAGCTTCAGGAGCTGATTCCATGCTGTTCCTAGCTGCGGCGCAGCATTCTAGAGCGAGTTGTTGATTTTTTGTGTGCAAAATTTGCATGCTCTTTGAACTGCTGACATTACGGTATCATCATCTAAATGCTTATTTACTGCGTTGAGTTTCTGTCAATGACGAAAGACTGGACCTAATATCATTAGGCGAATTTCCATCTATAGGCAGCCTTCCTACGTTGAGTAGTAGACCATTTTCGCACAGAAAAAAGCTTGTAGCTCGCTTCAAGATAATGTGCCGCAGCTAGGAACATCATACTTGGAATCATCGATTGAAGCTAATTTCAACCGTATATGTTTCCTTGTGAGAGGCGAATCTAAGATACCTGACCTTCCTAGTTAGGGAAATTTTCATACAGAAAGGAACATGGAATACATGATTTTGATGCGACGCCGCTAAGAATCCTCTCTGAACTCCAGCTTCTGCGTCAAGCTTTGTCAGTGTAGTCATCCTCTTTCGAAAAAGATAGGGTTACATGTTGCCCTGAATGTCAAAAGCAACAGATGGATAGATGCTCGTGCACGAACGTTTTTCAAAAACTTGAGAGAATGGTGTTAGTCGAAGCAGTGATCTTGCCGACGCTTCTACACTTGCTAATTTTGCAATTAGATGCAATCCTAATAATATTTGATTGCAACTTCTTGTCTTCGCGTTCCCTACTCGTGAATCTTATATATAAAGCTGAATGTCTGTTTGTCTGTCTGTCTGTATGTATGTATGT